TTTCTTTGGAGTCTAATTGAGGCCCTAATCAGTTTAAATGATGAAAAACTTTCCCAACACCAGCATAACAAACACACAGAAGCAATGCTTCTGCTCCTGTAAAAGCGAGCCTGACTCGCCTTTGCTCGTGTGAGGGCACCATGCCGAGTAAAAAGCAAAAATCACATTCTTCATCAGCACTTCACAGTGAAATATAAGTTGTCAGTTCCTCCCGGGAAATCCTGATGCAAGACCCAAACCGTGCCTGTGAACTGGAGCTTGGTGCATGTTTAATTACGCTAGGAACAAACACACATTGCTGCGTGGGGGCTGCGAGGAGCCATCCGAGCTGCACGCTAAGCTTCTCTGTCCCAAAGCAGTTTCTTCAATAGCATTTGCTTATCAAAAATAATTAGAGGTAGGAATGCTGGAACTGTGATTATGAAACAAATGGTAAATCTATTTGCTCAGACAAAATGTATCGAAAGATACATCTAGACACAGCTGGAGACTGAGGTGATACCACAAGGATAACAACTCGAGATCCAATTTCATCTTTCATGATTAAAAAATGAGCAAGAAAGTGTTTTATGAAATGTGAAGGTTAACAAATGTTCCTTCACAAGCAATGACGACAGTTTATCTTTTGAAACAAATGATCAGATTATGGTCTGCTAGCAGCTCCTGAAATACATTTGAAAGATTTCTTCTAAAAACCCAGTGAGGACCAGCGCACGCGGCCAGCAGCCCATCACGCTGCCAACACTTCGGACAAAGCCGACTCCAAAGCGACGCCGACGCAGCGGGGCGGGAGCCAGCCATGCTCCTGTCCCAGGGCTCTGCCCCACGCCAATGGCAAAAGTCCAGAAATTCATCCCTGTCCCTGATCCCTGCAGTGGCCGCAGCTGCTCCAGTACGGCAGAGCCGCTCTTCACCGACGGCGGTGGCGCCGGGGCTCTCGGCTCTACGACCTGCCTGCAGGAGGTGGCGCAAGCAGGGGCCCAGACCTGCAAATCGCCGAATTTCAAGCCGCCCAAAATATTCCAGGAGTCCTTTCTGTCTGTAGGTAAGCACCTATACATTGCTGCCTCCGTAGCGATGAGGCAAGCGGGAGCCTGATGCTGGGTGGTAATGGTTGGGTCTTCGCAGCCCCGGGCAGGAACAAGCCTGCTGCACGCTCCTAGATGGAGAGTGCGCACGGGGAGGGGAGACACGTCTCACCGGGTAATGAAGCACGTATTCCCAAACTACACACTCGGCTCACAGGCACATTCAAAGAAACTTTGGTCTAGAAAGAGATTATGAAACACCAATTTTTTTCTCCTGGTCATTCCACAGCGATACAAAAGACACATATATTTACATTTATAGGTGCAAAATCAGTCTAGCTTTTAATTTTTCACATGATGGTTGACCTACTAAATATTAGTGCAATATTCACCCAGTTCTTATTCAAAGGCATATAGAGGAAGTGGCCAACAATAAATTCCTTTGACTGTCTTCCAGATAAAGTACTCCCTTTTTGGTGCGAGTACAGTGTGAAGTATGAAAACTTATTTTTACAAATGAATTCTGCTAAAATTTGACTAGTAGAATAAATACTGTTGAGTTGTTGAACAAGGAAAAAAAGATGTGGATAGAGGCTCTAGAACTATTAAAGGGAAGGAATTATATAATGATGGGAATGGGTAATTCTCCAAGAAGAAAAATTCAAATTAGCCGGAGTGAACAGACAGTAGAGAAGATGGTGATGGCAACTTTAGTTCCTTCTGTTAATAGAACTAGTAGTTAAAATTGAGAGAGAAAGAAATATTATGTATAGAAGGCAACAGAAGGTGTTCTAAAGTAAAAAAAAATTGCTGTAAACTTCCATAAAATATGAGACTGCATAGCAATGCCCTTATTCCTATCCTTGGACCCTGAAATGGTTCCTTAGCATCAGGAGAACAGAACCTAGGAATGCAGGAGAACCCCCCCAAAAAGTAGTATAAACCTAAATTTACTTATTAGCAAGCACACAAAACATCGCAGCTGTTAAACTGGCTAAATTTGCTGGGATATGACAATTATATTGTTCTTCCCAATAAAAAACAAGTAAGAAATATTTCTAGTGGTCAAAGCTGTTGTAACGGACTAAATTCAGATAGGGGAAAAATATCCCCCCCCAAATTAGCTAGTAGCATAACGTATGTATACATAGCCATCATTCGAGGAGGTTAAGATTAGCCAGAGACCTAGAGGAGACCATGCAGCCAGTTGAAGTGTTTGGTACTCTACTGCAATACGGGCAGATGCCCCCCATTTTCACTCACAATACCTACAATTTCTTTAGCGCAGAGAATGTCTGGCCCTGTTTTACTGGGCCACATAAGCCTTCTCTCCACAATTTAACCACGCTGCACAAATAGCAACAGACTCCGCCCTTGGTGGACCAGGGATTATTCTAACCCAACAAATGGAGGTAGAGGGGCTACGAGACCCCTTTCAGGCACAGAACAAGTTTGCTTCAAAGACTACGCTTAACTGCTGCTGTGACAGAAGCTGTGTGGACATGGTGGAACACTAGCCCCAACTGTTGCCTTCCATGTTTCGAGTCACAAATTGCCCTCTCTTCTCAGAGATGGGATGTGGGCTGTTTCCTGGGGTCTGCAACTCCTGGCTTCTTTCCCATCTCTAGCACAGACCTCTGGTGTGCCCCAGAAAGTCGTGCCATCTGGGGCCGGTGTGAAGATCACAGATTAAGCTTTTCCACCTCAAAGAAGCATTCTCAGGCTAAACCAAGGAAAGAAAGAAATGCTCTACAACTGCAGTGATAAAAAGGTTCTTGTAAGCAGCATCGATACTCCTACCTCCCTTGGCACTTTAATGTGTCTGATTTAATGCTGCATGTTATTTTTGTTATGAAACCAGAACAAACCAAAATCAATATGGTGCTCATTAAATGGACAAAACATGGGGTAGCCTGTAGGTCTCAAAAAGCAAATGTAAATGGGAATCACTGCCTAGCTAAGTATTTCCAGTAGGGTCCTGCAACATGTAGAATAACACTGAATATCTATCTTTCAGGTCAGATTAAAAAAAACCAAACCGAACACACACACACCACTGTTTATCAAGTGCACAAATGACAAAGCCTAGAGAAGTGATAAATAATGAAGAGGAGATGACTGATGTAGAGACCTGGATCGGCAAGCTGGGTGCAAACAAGACACAGGTTTTAATACATCCAAGTATAAAGAAACACTCCAGAAACTAATGCAGCCTATGCTTTCTGGAAGGAAGACTATTCCTGGAAGAAGCTCTCCCCCGCTTTGGGGGTCCTTGTGATTAGCACCTAGCACGACCCAACTGTGATACTATGATGAAAAGAAATTATGCAATCCTTGACAAGGGAAGATCAAGAGCTGTTATATTCTTCATTGACACATCAGAATTATGTCCACAACACAGAAAGAGTACAGCTGAACTGAAGGAGGGTCTGTGAAGAATCAAAATGCTAATTTGGGGTTAGAAATCTGCGTGTTAAAGAACCTTCTGGAGCTCAGTTTCTTCAGCTTAGCAGAGACAGGGTTAAGGATACTTCCAGAGCCAGTGACCTGTGGCATCACTAAATACTCAGACTTAAGACGAGGTACAAAAATTATTTCATGATAGTGAAGATCATTACCTCTTTCCTCATTGCACGCTTTCCACCTTTCCAAAGGCTGTTTATCCTGTCTTTTCCCCTTCAGATGTGTTCCACCTTTACCCAAGCTCCTCCTCACTTACGTTTTGGGAATGCATCCCATCTAACCCTGCGACTGCTGCCTGAGTGGCAGAATTTCAGCTGAGACATTTCATGCGTGCCCTGGAGACTTTCAGCTCAAGCAGGAGCAAAAATCCTCATGTGGGCAGGATGCTCTTGTACACTGCCTGGCTGAAAGGCAAGGTGGCAGCTCCCATATGGCAGCTAATAGACTTGTTTCTTCTACTTGGCTCAGCGCTTAAGCTCTCATCTTTAGAAGGAGAAACTTGTTTGTTCAAGTTTGCTAAGAAAATATATTTGCAGGAATGTTTTACATTGAAACACGTGAAGCATTTGATCATTGAGACTAAACTAGCCAGCCTCTGGACACCACAAGATTAGATGGCATTTTACCTCCCTATCTTAAAACAGCGTATGTTGTTTTTGTTTTGCTTCAGATGTGTTTGCTGGTTGAGATTGCATAGGAAATGCTATCAGTGCTTTAGGAAAAAAAAAAAAGAACACACACACACATTAGCTGGAGATCAAGTACATTCTTCCAAAGGGAAAACAAAGCAAAACTCAGAGTGTTTTGCAGTGTGACCCTCCTAAGAATGTTTGCATTAGGCCTACTGCCTTATTAAAATTAATTTGTGTTTATATAAATTATTTTTTACAAAACCCCCATACACACCAGGCAAAAAATCCCATGTGTTGTTATGTATTGCAAACACACACTGACAGGGTAGTTCTAACTCGGAGTTAGTGATGGTCTCCGCAGACTTCGTCATGAAGAAAAATTTTTTGAAGCTGATCTGTAATTTTGGAGTGTTTTGCGCTGTTTACTTAAGGAAGAGACAAGAGCCCCTCAGAAGGAACCCTACTCTATATAAGCACCAGAAGTCTATCTAAAAGCTATCACTGAAAAAGAAAAGGTAAAGGTTTCGTCAGATCTCAGTCAATATGCAGGAGTATAACATCAAAGATATGCAAGAAGAATTAACAGTCTTTTCCTGATTTTCTCAGCAAGCACTGTTTGTACTTGTTGGTTCATAATAATAAAGAGTTCAGTCATGCCCTCCTTCTTCTACCTTGACCTAAAAATAGGATGCCACCTCCTTGACTACAAAATATGTTAAGTGCAAACAAAAAGCCATGCTTAGATAGAGGAAGAAGCTCCAACCTCTTCTGGGCAGAGCACAAGTACATGTTTTCATAGCAGAGGTTTAGAAAGACAAACAGCTGGTCGCACACTGAGAGGCTTTGGGAAGAGCCCACAGTACGTTCCTCTATTTACCTCAGGTAATCTCTGCGGCAAAGAATGAGATTTGCTTTTGTGTAAAGAGTTGATCCAACCTCTCCAAGACGGCAGTCACAGCAGGCACACTTTAGACAGTCTTCATGCCAATACTTATCCAGAGCCTTCAGCAGGTACCGGTCCTTGATCTTCCGGTTGCAGCCAGCGCAGCCCTTCTGCTTCCCTTTGGGTTGTACAGATAACATCGGCACACCTGCAATGCAAACAAAGCATTTCCTTTAGAAGATCTCAAACAGCCTGAATAGGTTTCCTGCATTCAGGGTAGCACTGTGAGCTATGGGTAGATCTGTGAGCAAATACTGCTGCTGGTTTCATTACAAGAAGTTCATATTGCAAGAAGCTGATGGTCAAAGGAACTTAAACCTCATTTGCTGTCACAGGTAAGTGGGGGTGTGACACTTGCAGGAACGCAGCCCTTTTTTCCTGAGGGTAGGGCTGATACAAAGCACCAGACTTTTTTTTAATTAACATCTTGCAGCAGGATAAACTGTCAACATTTGCTTTTTCCCTCATTACCAGTACCCTTGTGTTGTTAATTACCTGCCACAGGCAATTATGAAGATCAGAAGGGCCACCATTGTGTGTACCCCCAGTCCAGCATCTTGGCTGGATCAAGCTTAATGGGGAAAGGAGAGGAGTGGGTATAAAAAGATGTGGTACACCACTGTTGTTCCTCTTTTGTAAGCCCCACTGGTCACAGAGGCCTCAGTGAAAGCTAGAGCAGCCCCTGGGCTGCTCAACTAAAATAAATGTTACTCAAAAGCCCTCGAGGACTGCTGAGAATAACCCAACCAGTGCGCCTCTACCACTAGTGAAGCCACGCTCCTTAAGCAAAGCAGAGCTTTCCTTCTCTTCGTGTTCTGCTGGAGAAGGCAATAAAAAACCAGCTTTTTCCTCCCTGGAAATCCCTGCTGGGACTGCAAAGCAAGCATGAGCTAGCTGGGTATGAGGTGGTGACAGGACATTCGAGTCACTAGGCTGGTGGAGACTTGCTGTGGCCACCTTCCTCACTGCTGTCTCCAGCTACTTCCTCTCCTCCACGCGATAGTGCCTCCCATGGTGAGCACTGACGGGTGTGAGACCTGTTGCCCTTCTCAGTTTAAGAGGGAGGACGGGGAGGATTTTATGGAATCAACAGGCAAGGTGGAAAAATAAACAAGGATTATACTGTGGGGGAGGAAGGCGACAGGAGATGATGAAAGAAGAAACAAACTCGCTGAGCGCCAGAATCCCATTTTCTCCAGAGCCTTGATTTTACTTTGTTACTGATTTTTATTTTTACTAGTGCCAATCACTTAACCAATGCAGAGAAGATGAGAGGGGACACTCCGGCTGCAGTAGCAGGTGTCACTGGTTATATACTCTTACACAAAGTTAAGCCACCATTTCTGTAGGAAGCACCGGATGTTCCAGAAAGTAGCAGCTTGATAATGGAATTATTAACAGTCCCTTAACCAGAGAGGACCAAGTCAGTGCCACTGTAATAAGTGACATTTGCTGCTTTCCTTAAAAGCCAGGGTGACCTGACAGTGGCTAATGCACAGCACATGTAAAACCCACCACTCCTACAGTAATAATTGCTTTGTCAGAGCTGCAAGCAGACGACAATAGCACTTAAGACACCTCTACACAAACAGCAAGGTATTGATCCATTTGTTATCAAAGTGGTCTCAGCAGCACGGAGACAGGTCAAGTAACATTCAAAAACTCTCAAGGCTTAAAGAGCTCTCCTGCTCTTTGCTGCGGCACACTCGAAATCTGCTTGCAAAGTCGATACGAGCCAACTTTTGATGCCAGTGACAAATATGCAATAATTAAGTGAAAACTTAAATCTGTGTTTTTCTGCCACATAAGCAACCCGTAACGCTCCTGAGAGAAATTCTATGTACACAGCCACAGAGAAACACCCGCACGTTTGGGGAGAGGCAAAAGACAGGGAAGTGTCAAAAGTGTAATATACTGTGGGTGCCGGAGGTCAAACTGCAGAAGTCCTGTCTCCTGGTGAGAGTTTCTCACAAGAACGAGGGAAGTGGCCCCGTGGTTCTGGACACGGCTTTTTTTTTTTTTTTTTTTGCAAAGTACATTTCGGGAGCAAAGAGAAGCTTCACTTTTCAAGTAATTTCTTTTTAAGAAAACTTAAAGCCTTCATCCCATGCTCTCTCCAACTCCACACAAGGAGAACAGCACATGGTGAGAAGAGACTGCCTTACTCTGAGGCAGAGGAGGGCGCATACATGAATTTGCATTTGCAGACTGTAGACGATCAGTACCAGTGATGAAAGAAAATAGTTCGTATCTATGAAAACTAAGACCTAGGCGTGCGAACTATATTTTAAGATAGGAGCCCTAGACACCAGAGAGTCATTACCCAACCCCCAAACAGGCTCTCTAAATGGGAGCTGCGTACCCTTAGAGGCAGAAGAGGATTTCTTACAAGGGAGGGTCATCACACAATTCTTTTGCAAGGTTCATCTAGGTAACTTGAGGATCCTGTGTCTGGAGGTGCTGCAGATTTCAGAATGCAGATTCTAGATAACCAGAGCCCCTTAAACGCCCTCCCAAGAGCACTACTGCATGGGTAGGGTTTGAGATCATCTCTGCGATTCAGAAATACAAGATCTTCAGCCAGACAGGACTCCCCAAGGCCCTCGAGTGCTTCTGAAACCAGTGCCCTTTCGGAGTTACACCTCTCCTCACCCAGAGCGACGGGTCCACCGTGACAGCAGCAAGGTCAAGTGCCAGGGCAGCTGTGCAGGGACAAAACTCTGGCTGGAGCACTAGCAGAGGCTGGTTTGATCGGTAAGGGTGGTTTGGCAGGTTAGGAGGGTCTCCTGAGGTGGCAAGCAGGCCCGGATGGCTGTGGGCTGGCTGCAGTGGCGGTTCTTGTTCCACCTGTGGCCCTGGCAGCCCTCACTCACTGCCACCGTCTCAGTTCCCCGCTATTGCAAGCACACCATTGTCTTAGGAGAGGCTTCTGCGAATAAGGGGAATGTAACACTTTGATTTTCTTCTAATAACTAGCAAAGGAACAGATATATATATTTTTAAACAGTACCTTAAGCAAGGAAAAAAGCTACGTATTTGTTTTTTTCTAATGAAAAAAGGTACCATTTCAGAGATTATATGATGTTCAAAGCTGCTATTCCCACTCAGATAATAACGAGCAAGGTCAGCCTCTGCTGGTCAGGTTCAGTGTTTTGAAATTACATTTTGGTCTGCGAGGCTTCCCTCCGACATCCCAACCAACCGGTCTGCACGGAGCACACACACCACTACAGAAAGTTGCAGCTGCAATTAGCTGGTGAGTTGACACAGCAGGCAACGTGTGAAACAAAATTTCAAAAACCGCCAAACTTTATCAGCAAGGGTTTCTCACATGCTTGCCATGTCATTTCCAAGCAACAAGAAAGCAGCATCTCAGCAGCTTAACCCCTTTCACGGTCGGAGGTTTGAGAGAGAGGACACAGCCAACACCAAACCCCACTTTCCTCCTCCTGCCTCCCTTCCAGCAAACCCCACGCAGCCCGGGCTTTGCAGGCAGAAACCACCTGGAGAGCTGCTCTTTCTTTTTGGAAATTTCCCCACTGCAAGACTGCAATGCTGCTTCATTTCTCTATGTAGATTTCTCCCCAGTACTTACCAAAAAATGCCAAGATACCCAGTCCAATTTGATCAGGGGCATGTGGTGTCTAACTGGGGCTGCCAAGAAACAAAGGGCTCACTCTCGACAAATTCCATGTGCGCTCTGCGGGCCAGGATTAGAAAATGAGAAGTCCTGTTGCAGAGGTAGGAAAATTAACAGCTGGACACTCACCAGTTTAAATACATGACCACAAAGGGAATGCTGACTGATGACCAAATTCTGAAAGTACCATCAAGTTGCTCTCTCCTCTCCTGTTGCTAGCCATCCATCGCTATCTTTTCTTAGAAACGGTAAATGAAGCCTTTCTATTTTTAGCTACGTACACTCCCTTCTTTGCCCTTTACAACTTAATAGACTTGCTGCTGGTAAATACAAAACAAAACCTGTTCTGAGTGCTCGGAGCTCCAATGCACATTAAAAAATTATAGACACCACCTCTGGACATACTGAAATTTATGGCTGTGTCTAAAGAGGATGTTGTTGTAGTGAGTAATCTAAACTTTACCTCTATTCACAGCTGGGCAAACTAGCTCTAATCAGCCCGTATCTTCTCAGTCGGGGTCTTTCTGTAAAATTATTCAGCTGGCTTTATAACACAAGTGTCCGTTAAGTACACCTCTAAATTTTTCTAAGCCATTTTACTGATATTTCTATTCACATGGCAATCAGCTGCAGTTCCTTTAAGGGCACTGTTCATAAAGCCTCGTTTCCAAGAGAGCCTGGGAACTTTTTATAAATGGTAGACCTTTTAAATAACAGTTATCTGCAATGGTCCTATGGTGTATGGCTCCACAGTGCTCTGGTCTGCAAGAGAGCTACTGGTCCCCTCTGAAAGCATGGAAGTTCACCACCTAATTTCTTTAATGCAACTCTAAAGGTTAATTGGTCTGAAAGAGTAATGCGGGACTGCTGGCTAATGATATATGCCTCAAGGCTTTGCAGCTTGCCTGTATTTTATACAGTCAAGTCCAGAGCATGGAACACAGGTGATATCACCAGGACTTTTCAGACTCCCCTCCGACTTCCCACAGCCCACCTCAGCCTCCCCCTCTCCCACCGAGCCCTCTGCTATACCCACATGTGCCAAGTGAAAGCGGCAGGAGCTGAAGGCGGTTCTCCTCCTGCATTTCATGCCTTGTTAGAGGGGGCTCCGAGAAGTGCCGCCACTGCACTCCTCATTACCACTGCAGAGAACTAAAAACAACCCTAATGAGGAGAGTGAGAGCGTACAGCACGGGGTGGGAGGAGGGACGTCCTCCCACACTCCCCAAGGAATCTGGCCAAAATCTTCAATTTGCCATTTATGACAGCTAATTAGTTATTCTATTCAAAATCTTTGCTTTAAATAAAAGAACTAATTATACACAAAGGTCAGTCCCCCACCTCCTGTGAAGCACACATAATTGGCTTATTTCCCCAACATTGTGTGTGTGTTTTACACAATGCTTTCAGGCAGATGGCTTTAACTCTTTCCTTTTTTTAACGCTTTCCCTCTGCAAGTTTTTGGGGTTTTGGGGGTTTTTTGTTTGTTTGTTTGAGGTTTTTGTTTG